TCTATGAAAACGGTTGGTAGGATGACATGGGTGCGAGGAAATATGAGGGATGAAGGAGGATCAAAAAGAGGAAAGGCAAAGACGCTGAGCCCTACATCTCTTAGTTTGTAGCACAAGAGGGTGGTACAAGCCAAGAGATGTAGCGATTCAGCGTGTAGCCCGTAGCGACCTAGTTTTCACAGTAATTACAAACTTTTCAATCCACAACGAATTTAATTTTGTTTCTTTTTCCACTCTTTCTTTTGTCTTTCCTTACAATTTTCTTAAACGCATATCATTCCTGCATCTTGTCTATGTATTATGCATGAGCAAATGCAGTAGTATGTGTCTGGGGCAATTTCTGGCAAAAATGCTTGATCGGGATTGATGCGCACCACTCGAGATTCCCAGCGTGATTCCCTAAACAACTTTGTACAACTTCGATCCAGTCTTTTTGTATTGTCGGTTCGTGAGATTAACTCCGCTTGTTTTTAAGATTACCGTCATCATCAACACTTTCGCCAACAATCACGACGCTGCAGCCGTTGCGTTGGATCAATGTTTCGCGGCATTCACCCTCATTCGGAGTAAAAATGGTAGATGGATGCAACACAAGTAAAAATTTCATTTCCATGCGCCAAGGTTTCAATAAAAAATTACGGAGTTAAAAAAGCGAAAAAACGAACTTTAGTAAAAAACTTAGATAGAATTTAGAAGTGCGATTTCTTGTGCCACTTATTTTACGTGAATTTAGCATCTTAATGTAATTTTATGTTTAGTAGCAAAGCGAGCAGCTGATCAGGAGACGCACGCAACGGCCGAAGAGCCAGGAGCTGCCCTCTACCAGTCACTTTCGGTAAAACAATTGCAGATCCGTTTATGAATTAACTTACTGTTTAATTACATTAATTTAAAGCTAAAATGGACTATGTTTCACTGCACGTTTGGCAGGCCGTTCCGTACTCATTATTTATAAGAGATAGATGCACTGAGAAATGCCCGAGTCCTTGAGCCGCTGACAGCAGCAGATGTTTTTTGCTACTTAACAAGCAAAGGTTTTGAAAGCATTTTGACCAAAATGGTCAAAATGCTACCAACTATGCCGTCCAATCTAAAAGAGCTTTTGTGTTGTCCGAATAGAAGCAAAAGTTTTGTCCTGAAACGAGATGCGCTTACACGGTACTGCACTTCCATGCAGATTCAATGTATTGATGAGCAGCTGCAGTCAAAATGCGAAACCTCCTTCTTCAGACGGGCTTCTACACTCGACAATTTCTTAAGCAGCAGCGTTTTCTTCTGGCAGCAGCTCGCACACAACACTGCTAATGATTCTATTTTTAGAGGATTTTTCGAAGCTCATGAGTCTTTAAAAACTTAACATAATCCGGCAGCAGGTTTCCATCGAATCATGTAGTCTCAATAATGATTTCGAAACATAGTTTAGAACAACTTTCTGCGAAATTAAAATCCCTTTTCTTACAGAACTGTAATGAGAAAACATATGAAACTATGGAAATAATGGGTAAAGCACCATCGTTTACTAATTTTTACGAGCCACCATCAACAAGCTATGACTGCAATGAAGCAGTAACTGCTGCGGCGAGTTACATCCAGGTACAGTTTGAAATTTGCATAAAAAAGTGAAATTGTGTAAATCTTGATTTTACTGCCTAGGATTTAGAAACAAGCAAACTGTTCGGGAGATCAGCTAAGTAAATCAGCAGAATCATACATTTTTATCAACCCCGCAAGAGTGAGGACTTGTTGAGATATTCAATCTGTCGAATAAGTATCCTTCATTTGTAATTCATTTATTTATTGTCCCATGCACTCATGGAGCTTTCTGACTAAGTAATCTACTGGCACTCAAACATGTCAGTTTTGTATATTATGCAAAAGAGCTGGATATAGCATTCTCATGTGCGAGTTTGGATGCACAGTGTCCTGCCTAGTATCTTGTATAATCCCTTCCCGAAAATTGTTTTAATATTTATCAAATTTGTTTTTGTCTTGATAATAACTGACGAATAATTGTTGAAGGGGAAGTCAGGCAAATAACTAATGACAGCTCTTCCCTAAGGAAGCGAATACTAATTTTTGACATTCA